GGCCTGACTCGTGACCAGAGAGTCTTCAACTACAAACTATCATCATGCCAGTATGGCTCTTAGGGAGCAAGTAAGGGAGGCCATGAAAACTGATGGTCCTACAGTATGTATATGTTAGTTTATGTGCTTGCTTAGTTTTTGGCTTGTAAACACAAGTCAGTTATTAATGTACATCAGATATTTAGTTAAAGGTATGTTTTTTGTGATTTGTAACGTTATTAGTCGTTTTGTTTTTAGATTTTAAAATGTGTAGTGCCGGTCAGCTGGCAGTCACCTGATCAACAGGTTCTGGCGATCACATGATCCCATGTGCAAGGGCGGTCATGACCTATGACGCTGCGCCCTGGGATGACGTCACCGTCATCCCAGTGATGCGGGACTTGAGATTCAACCATGAAATCATTGCTAGGCATGTCTGCAATTAGCAGCCGAAATCCTACAACGTAACAAACAAAACGAAACAGACACAAAATAGGATTCAATCAAGCCGACAGATGACCGCAAGATATTAGGATTCGAGACAAGCCGACTTCACTTGGACTTCACCCCATGACGTTGGAAAAAGCTCTATACTTTTGAACTTTAGGCCAACGTTAAACTTTGAACATTTAAATTCCCTTAAATTTCATTTCTTTACTGAACTTTTGTTTGCTTGGAATTTGCATTTTGTTTATCAAGAATGAAGTAAATGGGAAAGTTGAATGTATTGTTAAATTCCATCAATGTGTGACAGAGTTTTGAGTGTATTTTCAATCATTGCATTTGCTGCCTCCGTTGAACAATTGAGTTTAGTTAATGTATTTGCATTACCATATTTTTTTAAAATCTAATTTGTTAATTTAATCATAATGGTAGACCAAGTGCCACAAGCCCCTCAATTGACACAGACAGATTTCCTACCTAAACGCTATGATGGTGAAACAACAGACCATCATCAATGTAGTGCGCACTTTCTTTCCTTAATGGACTACTTAGAAGCCCATACGCTACAAAATCCTGCAGATGATGGTGCATTACAAAATATCATTAGCATATTTAAGCGTAGACTAGGCTATGGATCCAAGGAAAGACATTGACACATTGGATAGCTTGAAAACTCAATTTATTAACAGGTTTAGCAAAAACAAATCAGTGTACGCCCACACTCAATCCCTTACCAAACAGGGGATAGTGCTGAAAGGCATATTACCCATATCAAACAGGCAGCACACAGAATAGAATACGCAGATCCACAGATAAAAAATAAATTTATTGCAACACTACCACCTAAATGTAGAGCAGCAGTTGCTATGTCAATACCGGCTGATGCCACACGTGATAATCTAGTAACTAGTGCTCAAAATTACCTTGATCTGTCCGTGGAGGATAAGCCACGAAAAATCAATTTCAATATTCAAGAAACATCTGAAATTGCAACACTTACACATGAACTTAATGCATTAAAAGTTGACCTTGCAACTGCTAAATATAACTTGAATAGGCCCACTGATAGCCCTAGGCGTTCACGTTCAGTCGAACGACACCATGCACCAAGAACTAATAATTCCTGTCGAAGCCCAAGCCCATATCGCCAAACTAGGCCTCGATTTAACAACAGAACGAGGTATATAGTTTGTCATTATTGTTCTAAACCAGGTCACGTTTGGCGTGAATATAGACAACGTGCCACCGAATTAAAGCAACGTCCACCTCAACAAAATTTTCAGACAGTTTATACCAACAGACGACAAAACTCACATTTTCACTAAGGGGATTAGACAACTGCGCCAATTATTTGAGTCCCCATAAAATACTTAGTGCAAACAAACAGGAACAAGCATTCCATTCACACAAGGCGCAATATCTCGAAAATTCAGATAAGGTTGATTTACAATTAAATGCTAAAAATTATGTTAAAGGTAATTTACCTGATGGCAAAAGTGTTTTGACTTTATTTGATAGCGGTGCTACAAAGACATTAATATCTCAATCCTATGTCCAATCTTCAAAGTATTTGTCACAGCTTACGCCTACACTCGTACAACCGACTAAATTTTCTTTAGGGAACGGTGAATACTTATATGCCAAGTACATGTTAAAATTTGATTTATCAATACAAAGTCACAAATCTAAAATTTCCGCTTTGATTGTAGAAAACTAAACTAAACGAAATGTATCGATATCAAAATACAAATCAGTTGCTAATCTTCACCTAACTAACCTTGTAACTGTAACTAATGAACTACCAATTGACAAACTAAAAATCAAGCAAGATAACTTAAGAAAATATCCACATTTAGAAATGAACGATCCATTAACTTCAATGACAGAACAAGAAGTACTCAGGAAATATGTTGATCTTAGTGACAGCATTTTATCCCATACTGAAAAGGATGGCATCTATGATACACTAACTAAACATAGGGAAGCATTTTCACTGTATGGGTGAACTTTCCAGTTGCCCTAACTTTCAAGCAGACATTCATTTAACAAATTATAACCCATTTTTCATACGATCATATTTCGCTACAAAGACAAAAAGAAAATTGACACAGAACTAAACAGATTAGTTAAATTGGGAATTCTAGAAATAGGACATCAATCGTACATGTCACCTGTACTACTAGTTTCCAAGAAAAACTCAACTGATAAACGCGTCGTTACAGATTTTGGGTACTTAAATTCCAGAATCAAACGTATAAACCCGCAACTAGTTGAAACTACTGTATAAAGACAATAGGAAACGCTAATGGTAAAGTCATAACCCAGCTAACACAAAACGTTTTGAAAACGTTTTTTGTAGGTTAAGTTGTGGTTTTTCTAAAACCTGTTAATTAAAAACGTTTTAAAAACGATTTAATTAAGGTTGGTTTGACTAATGTTTAATTGATACATTAAAAAAGTGCAATTTATTTGGAATTTTTAAGGTTTTTAAAAACATTTTCTATATAACTTTTTAAGAACCTTCATAAAACGTTATTTGTTGGTTATTTTTAAGTTGTTGACAATAACTTTTGATCAACCTTGAAGAAACGTTTTGAATTTGTTATTTATACGTTTTCCAAAGATGTTTTATGAATAACTTTAAATGAACTGTTATGCAACGTTTTATATGTGTTATTTTATGGCTTCCTTAAAACTTTACTTGAATAACTGGTATTGGACATTCTAGAAACGTTTTGAATTAGTTATTTTAAAGATGCCTTAAAACGTTGTATGAATAACTGTTAATTGACCCTTTGGAAACGTTATTTATTGATTATTTAAGGGTCTTCTTAATGCCTTCCGAGAATAACGTTGGATGAACCTTGAAGAAACGTTTTGAATTTGTTATTTATATGTTTTCCAAAAATGTTTTATGAATAACTTTAAATGAACTGGTATGCAACGTTTCATATGTGTTATTTTATGGCTTCTTTAAAACGTTGCTTGAATAACTGTCATTAAACATTTTAGAAACGTTTTGAATTAGTTATTTTAAAGATGTCTTAAAACTTTGTATGAATAACTGTTAATCAACCTTTTGAAAACGTTATTTAAAAGGTCTTCTTAATGCCTTCTGAGAACACGTTCTTAACTCGTTGTATGAATAAATTTTAATTAACATTATAGAAACCTTATTTATTGATTAATTTAAAGTCTTCTTATAATGCCTTCTTAGAATAACGTTGGATAAACCTTGAAGAAACGTTTATAATCAATATACGTTTTCTCAAAATGTACTATTATGAATAACTTTAAATGAACTGTTATATTATATATATACAGTACTGTTATTTTATGGATTCTTTAAAACATTGCTTGAATAACTGGTATTGAACATCGTTGAAACGTTTTAAATTAGTTATTTTAAAGATGATTAAAATGTTGTATGAAGCACGTCTTAAAGCCTTTTGAGAATAACGTTTGAAAAACCTTGAAGAAATTAATAATAAACTGTTATGTAACGTTTATATATAACAGAATATAAGATAATTATAAGAGGAAACACAAGTAAGGACCTTTGATATCACGCATTTGAAAAAAAACCAAAGAAACAAACAACGAAAGGCAGTTTTTATACTCGTCCTTGATTGTTACTGGTTAATTTAACGAATTGTACCTCTCTGATGAATGGACCCTTCCTTCATGACAATGATGCGTGGCCGACAAAACTTTTTTCATCTAGCAAGGAGAGGTAGGTGAGTAAAAAGGCAGTTCAATTTAAATCATATTTTATTAGGTAAGCATGTTTAATTTCATTTAATTTTTTCCATTTCATTTATTACGCCATAATATATATTTATATATGTATAAAAATATAGTTGTCATGTGGCAGAATTGCCCAAAATTAGCTTTATCTAGGCTAGGGCCTACTGTTGTCAAGAGTATCTCCTCGTGAAAACGAGGAATATGCTAGGCCTATGCCTAGTCAAGAATAAAATATCATGCAAATCAATTCTAGGCCTAGGCCCCATTTATTGCGTAGCGTGAAAGAAGTAAGTCTAGTTTTCATTGTAGTCCCCTATAAAAGATCTCAAAATCATGGCCCTAAATTGAAATGCATCATTTATTTCATTTTCATTAAAGATGTATAGTCTCTTAAAAGATTTTGAAATACCATACAATGTAAGAACTTAGCACAGAAGTGTATTTTAAAAATGTTTACCATGTTTATTATAAGCTGGATAAAGCTAAAAATTATAGAAAGGCTGCTGCAGGTTTTTCCTCTGATTTTTTTTGTATACCTTTATCTTGTGCAAATTTAGTGGTAAACATTTTATAAATACACAAATTTCCATGCTCAAGTTCATAGTTTTATATTATTTAAAAATGAGCAAGTTAATTTGAAATTCATGATTGTTAGGAGTCAATAAATATTTAATAAATAAAACAATGAAAAATATAGTGTACAATTGGAAATAACAAGTTTTTTATGAAAATAGTTTTAAGCTGAATCTGATGAGGATAAGGACATGGAATGTCCAGAGTTGCCACGCCCTCCAAGTCCATGCTCATCATTCCAATCAGGTACGTATGTTTTCTATTAAAAAGAAATAATAATAATAATCTTTAAAATAAAGGAATGCATTTTCTTTTGAATTGTGGATTAAAACATGTATCATTCCCAGTTGGATGACCCTTCAATAAAGGATCACCTTCTAAATATAGACCACATCCTCCAAAATTAAAACATTCTGGATTTAAAATTGTCAGTAATTCCACTCTAGTGGTGGTTTTTAAGGCTGCCATGTTTTACTCAATTGAGATATCCTGTCTTTTAAACCAGAAAGATGTCAAGTTTAATGCAGACTATGCAATCCACCTAAAAGTTAGAAAAAACTATAGCCAACAGTTTACTGTTTTTCTAGTTTGCAGGTGGATGGACATAGACTATATCAAACCTCCCCCACCCATCCAGATATCACTGGATGATTCTGATCTTTTATCTGCTCCATCCACTGTAACTCTGTCTGAAATAGAAGAAAGTGATGATGAATGCAGATCATTTCCATGGCCACTTACAAGACAAAATGCATTTCATGGAGGTAACTATTAAAGTTCATCATACTAAATATTGTTTAATTTTACTGATTTGAACAGGAATTCTCTTTGAGCTTGGAGGGTGGGCTTTTACGTGAGATTCCAAAAAATGTAAATTGAAAAATGTAAAGCCCTATAATTTAGCTACCATATGTTCCCGTGTAAAAAATTATAATGCAATAGTAAAATATTCATTTGCAAAATCAAACGAATAAAACATAATTTTTTATACTCTCTAATTTTTTGACCAGAGCGATACAAAGTGTTGAAAAAATGCCACCCAGTGCATGTCAGTCAAGCAGTATAATTTCAAAACTACTTTTAAAATAAAACACTTAAAATAAAGACCAGAAAATCATAGTTTACACATGAAAAGACATGTGGATGTTAAAGCAGTTATTGCCATTTTTTGTTGTTGGAAAACAAATAAATGTATACCCATATGAACCTCAAAATTTGTTCTCAAAAGTCAGGGTGGGCTTATACCCATGTTAATACGGTACCTTGTACTTATATTACACAAGTTGATACTAAATTTTGCTTTTGAATTAATTTATGCTCAAGCACATAATTTTAAAAATAATCCTAATTTTTGTGACTACAAAAAGACGCTTTTTAATATAATAATATTACAGTACAATAATAAATTTCTGTTGAACTGTGGTCCATTTCATTGATAATGGTAATTTCGTACTCATAATTTTAATAAAGCTGCCTATTTTTCCCCCTTTTTTTAGAAACAATTGCCAGCTCATCACCAAGTGACAACAAAAGAGTATATTCTGGTAATATGTCTTAACACTTTATGATTAAAAATTCCACTAATCAAATCATTGTAATGTGTGCAATGTGACCAAATCACAAATAAATTAGTGATTATTTAATAAGCAATGTCTGCACACTGACATGAAAAAGTAAATAAATATCCTTTTTTGAGCTTTGTCTAGGTATTGGAGATAATTCTCGGCTAGGGCTAGCTATATGACCTAACACTGTGTCAGACCAACATTCTTGAGCAAGCACACCAGTGCTAGGGGTACTAGGCCTAGCCAGGAATTAAGGTAATATTGTATTTCAAGTTTATTTCGAATTATTTTATTCCAGATGATTTTAGCCGATTTAGGATATGTTATTCCATGGTAGAATGCGCTTCCAATAAAACAACATATAATATCCTTTTGTTCCCAGATAAACCCTTCAATGACCAGACTAAATGTTTTCTCAATTTTTTGTTGAACTTCTTCCAGATACTTTCAAAATTCAAGTGCTGATGAAATTCAACAGCTTGGAGAAAAGCATAAATGAATTGAAGATTATGCTGCATACTTCATTAAGCACAAACATCCATGCACCAACTGAACTTGGTGCGCCTGCAGACTGGCCAATAACAAATTCTAGACAATTTGAAGAATTTGAAAAACGGATTCAGGATGCAACTTTTAAGGCAACTGTGGTGTGTTTCGCTTTAATTATAAGGGGACAACTTCGGCCAAAACTTTTCCTCTTAATGTGGGTTTTCCTGGTATATGGTGGTATAATTTATAATCTTAGAAATGCAACTAAACACTCTAGATTTGATTTATAAGCAGCCAGTGCCCTATTTCATTAATCTACAAAATAATATGTTTAATTTTTCCTTTTAATTTTTTGTGGTATCTTTAAAATTAAAGTAGAAATGTAAACTACTTGAATCCTCTATCAATATCTATCATTTAAACAGCATATTTCAAACATGCAACTCCAGAAACATTACACAGGCATGTTCAAATTATTTTTCACATAATTATTATGAAAATATACTTTCCCTTGTTTCGTGAAAAAAGTGTTCCCGTATTAAAAGTGTCCAAATGTTAAAAGTGTTAAAATGTATACTGTAGCTGTAACCTTTTTCCTATATTTTATTATTTCCTGTTTACGACAAATAACCATTAACTGTATTATCTGTTTTATATATATATATGATGCTTAAAATTTGTAAATTTTTAAAAGGGTCTGTAACACTATTTTTTTTGTTTGATCAGTATTGTATTTCATTAACTTTTTGCTTTAAATTCTCTCAGATAAACACTTTAAGACGCCAGGTATCAGATGATTTGGGAAATAGTGTCAGACAATGTCTAAAGAAAGCAGGCACATCAGAACTTTATGCACTATTTAACATGGAGGGTAGAAACAAAAAGAAGGCCTTCAAAGGCACTCACCTTTGTAAAATTATTACTCGTGAGTACATGCGAAGCACTATTTGTACTTGTTTTCTTATGTTTTTCATTTTAATAATTTTGTAAGTATTATAATAGACAAATGACGGGCCATTCAATAAAATGGAATTATAATGTGCCATGACCAGAAAAAAATCCAGGAAATATTTGTCGTCACAAGATCTTGGAAGCTGGCCAACAAATGCATGTTGTTTGCTTTTGCACCACATGCAGTGTGTTTATGTTGTAATAATACAAACTAAAGTTTATCACTGTATGTTAGATTTCCCATTACAGTAAGGTTAACTTATTATATGCAATGGTTAATTTGCTTCTTGAGAACACTTTTTCTTAAATTTTTGTATTTTTATCTTCCACTTATGTACAATGTACAACCACTTTCTTTCCTTTAGAACTTTGTGGAACAAAACATACAGACAAACAAGTAGAAGCAGAAATTGGAAGATACTTAAAATCCACACCATTCAAAAAAGGTGTAAAGGTACGAGTAGCAAAATATTGTGTTGTACAACTCGCACTATCCAAATGGATTGATCTGTACATTAGTCCCATCAGAAATCAGTTAAATAAGGATTGGGCATGAATTTCTGGCCATAGTGTTGATGTGTGTTGCAGGCCTGGAAAAATATTTCCACTAATATATTTATTGCCTTGCAATTGACATTTGGAAATAAAATTGATAAGAATAACTGTACAGTATTTGAAGCAGCATTTCAGTAGATATTATGCTCACAGTTACTGAGGCTGCGCAGGTAAGTTATCCACCCTAAAAATATAGATATAACTTGTACAGATTCCAATTTCAAACTTTTTTTTTTGTAGAAAAACATGTCACAAGAGGAAGGTCAGGAAATGGATCTGGAAAAGGATGAAGACATGCCTTGATACATATTCTTTATATGTTAAAGGACAAGTTAACCGATTCGGTTTATTGTAAAATTTGGAAGTGTAAAAATTCCTAAAACTATAGTCATACAGCTGCCAACGTAAACCTCAGAGTCTGTAATAGTCCACGGCTACAAACTATTATTTTTTTTCAGATAAAATACAACTGTGTACAGTTGTATTTTATATACAGTAATTGATAAATACAAAGATAAATACAATTTTCAGAACTTACTAGTAAATTACGAACTTTTAAAACTGGCTTAGGTTTTTACTTTATAGTCCTTGTGTATACGCAGCAAAGTTCGTCAGTGGGAGACCACAAAATTTCTCATTACCAACCATCAATTGCCAACCTTATTGCCAACCTCAGATGGAGAGAATCAGGACTTCTCATTTTTATTGTAGGTAAAATAAAATTCACATGCCTGCTATTTTATTATTTTGTATTTTGGTGCCTAAATTTTGTTACGGGTTGAGCAGGTTTGGCCAGTATGCGCCTTTTTTGTAGCCAGCAGGCATCCCTGGCATTGCAGAATATGGCTAGTGGGCACCAAGTTTTTTTTTTCTCTGACGGACAGTATATTAAAATTAACCTAATTAAATAATCAATTTAAATTATTTTTTAAAATTGTTTATTTAGATTAGAACTATTTATCTACTAATTAAAAGATACTCATTGTATAATCTCAAAACAAAATTTAATGACAAAAATAAGATCAATGTTTTGCGACCATTATGGAACCATGATAAAAGAAAAAAAATTAATTATTTACTAACTAATATGTATTTAATCATTTATTATTATTATTATAAATATTCTGCTGTTTACTTCAGCATTTTCCCTTTTTGGCTACGTCCCTGTATATTAATTTCTTAACCTAATTAAATAATTATTTTATTACTAACTTGTTATACAGTTAGGCCTATTATTTTTTGTTATATAAAAGATGCTTAATGTTTAATTTCAAAACAAATCTTTAATGACAAAAAAAGAATAACGTTTCAGGACTATCATAATTTTTTTTTCTTATTGATTTGTTTATAAGAGATTCATTTAATTATTCATATATTCATTCATTTATTAACTATTTTATTCATTCATTCATTCATACAATTGTTTTTGCTTAATTAGTGGGCTCCGATTGATGAAATTTGCCGTATGTATATAATGATCATAAAGGCAATGCCTAGGCTAGTTAAATATTCAAGGTTCTGTATGCACTGCTACGCAGTTCTAAGGTAACATTACAAGTTTTACACGCAGAAGAAATTGCAGTAGTTTTTACCTGTACTGTAATTTACAGATTAATTTCTATTTAGTGGTTATATTACTGTATGTTTCACTGATAGAATAACAGTGAGTTGATGTAACACATACAAATGTTCAAAACATGTATTTGATATTGTGATAATTTAAAGTAGATAATTATTTTTTTAGCATTCAACATTCCAAACGGGAGCAAAGTTCCAACTTATAGGTCGTAATGACCAATGGTAGAGCATCCTTAATAGGAGAAATAATTGTATAGCGTTTAATATCGTCAGCATAAAGGCAATTTTTCACTAAGCCAATTTATTTGCACCAATTTTCACTTGAGCAAGAATTTTGTTGTTTAAGCTGCACATATGTGTATTTGGAAATTTGTGATTGGTGTGAATAAATTTACATAGTGGAAAATTGCCTTCAGGAAGACTTTTCCTTATGTATATAATCATCATAAAGGCAATGCCTACATAGGCTAGTTAGGCATTCATAATTTACATCTGCAAAGTTATGTAAGCACTGCTATGGTGTTCTAAGGTAACATTACAAGTTTTACATGCAGAAGAAATTGCAGTAGTTTTATCTGTACTGTATTTTACAGATTCATTTCTATCAAGTGGTTATATTACTGTATGTTTCACTGATAGAATAACAAAGTGAGTTGATGTAACACATACAAATGTTTAAAACGTGTGTTTGATATTGTGATAATTTAAGGTAGATAATAATTTTTTTTTTTAGAATTCAACATTCCAAACGGGAGCAAAGTTCCAACTTATAGGTGTTAATGACCAATGGTAGAGCATCCTTAATAGGAGAAATAATTGTATAGTGTTTAATATCGTCAGCATAAAGGCAATTTTTCACTAGGCGAATTTATTTCCACCAAATTTCACTCGAGCAAGAATTTTGCTGTTTAAGCTGCACATATGTGTATGTGGAAATTTGAGATTTGTGCGAATAAATTTACATAGTGGAAAATTGCCTTCAGGAAGACTTTTCAAACATTCAAAAGAAAAGTAAATAATATATACAGTACTGCAGACAGGTAGTTGACAACATCGTCCCTAGGGCTTATCTAAGGACAATGTTACTAACTTAATGCTGCTTCATAGAACTAAGATGAGTGTGGATGTCGGTAAGATTAATTGGGAAATATTGAGGGTGCTCGTAGGAATCTCTGGAAGTTGTAGGAGACAGACCAAAGGATCATCAATGTTACTAAAAATGATGGGTAGAAACATTAGATAATGCCTGGGCATTAGTGTTATTTAGCCTAATTAAACTTGCATTTACTACGCAGGCAAGACCACAGTCAGTTATCATTTTTTTTAATTACTGTATTATTTTCCATGAACATGAGAATGTTAAATAAAATGTCCAACAGGAACAACAACAGGAAAAACGTTTATACAACTTTTTATTAATATGGTTTTTATGTGTTTTATTAACGATATTTAAACGTTTTTAAATATCGTTTTTTTAAACGTGATTAAAACTCAGATTTTGTTCACAAAGATGGGTTTTTATAACGTTTCATGGAAACATTTTAAAAACATTCTGGATGTTTTTACAACGTTTTATAAATACGTTTTTTTTTTTGTGTTTTTTAACGATATATAAATGTTTTTATAAAACGTTTTTTAAACGTGATTAAAACTCAGATTTTGTTCACAAAAATGCATTTTTATAACGTTTCATGGAAACATTTTTAAAACGTTTTAGATGTTTTTACAACGTTTTATAAATACGTTTTTTTTGTGTTTTTTAACGATATATAAACGTTTTTAAAAAACGTTTTTTAAACGTGATTAAAACTCAGATTTTGTTCACAAAAATGCTTTTTTATAACGTTTCATGGAAACATTTTCAAAATGTTTAAGAAAATCGTTTTTACGTTTTACAAATACGGTTTTTATGTGTTTTTTAACGATATATAAACGTTTTAAAAAACGTTTTTTAAACGTCATTAAAACTCAGTTTTTGTTCACAAAAATGCGTTTTTACAACGTTTCATGGAAACATTTTAAAAACGTTTTAGATGTTTTAAATAAACGTTTACGTGACGTTATAAAAACGTTATTTTGTTAGCTGGGAAGTGTAATTGATCTCAAATCCTCATTTCATTGTGTTCCGTTAACAAAACAAGCTCAGCAATACACAGGTATAGCTTCATGTCATGGTGGTAAACAGTATTATTATAAGTGGTTGGCACAAGGATTAAACGTTTCACCAGGTATTTTTCAGGCTAAAATTGACGAAATTTTGAATGATATTCCAAATTCTAAGAACTTCTGTATTGCTCACCATGATGATATTATTTTATTTAGTACTGATAAGACATCACATAGAAATCATCTTACTTCAGTGTTACAAGCTCTCAAATCTAATGGCTTTAGAGTTTGCCCCAAGAAGTGTAAACTATTTAGAAATGTCCAATACATGGGACATAGAATTTTGATAAATAATTCAGGACATGCTTTTATAACACCACTAGGTGATAGATGCGCCGCAATTATAAAATTGCCACGGCCTAAAACGGCCAAAGAAACAAAAAGATTTATTGGAGTAGTAAATTATGTATCAAATTTCTTTCCGAAAGTACAAGACATATTAAGTCCTTTACACAAAATCGCTAGCAAAAGGTGCACTTTTGAATGGACTAACGTACACCAAAATGCTTTTGATAAAATTAAAGAACTAATGGTTAAGCCACCAATTCTCAAAATGCCGACTAAAAACGGTAGATTTACGATATATAGTGATATATCTAGGACTGCAACAGGCTCATACTTAACACAAACCGTTAATGATGAAGAACACATACATGTAATTGGATATTATTCAAAAGTACTCCCTGAAGCTTGCAAACGATACAGTGTAACAGAATTAGAACTATTTGGTCTTTACATTAACATATCAGCATTTAAGCATTTGTTAAAAGGATGTGAGTTTGATGCATTTGTTGATCACTCAGCCATTGTTCAAATTTGGAACTCTAAAGACCAACCTTGCACAAATCGACTACAAAAACTAATACTAAGATTATCAGGCTTTGTTTTTAAAATTGGATACAAAAAGAGTACTGAATTAGTACTAGCTGACTTCCTATCTTCTGAAATTGATCAAATTGTACCAATTGCATTTAACTGTTCTGAAATTGATACCAATGATAGTGTAAATCCAACAACACAAACAGTTTCAAGACCAAGACCAGTAACTAGGTCATATGCTAGGAAAATGGGAATTAAATACCAGACCTCTACAAACCCAAACAAACACAAATCAATGACAGAGTACTACCATGGAGGTAGTACTACACAGCCACGCGACCTCATTCATCACAACAAATAGACACACAACACCAATCCCCCACACCTCCACTCATTACAACTAGTACACTTCGTCCTTCAACTGACCCACTAATTGTACCACCATTATCAATACCAGACAGACCTAAACAACAAATAGTACTTAGGGAACAGAGACTTGTGGATAAAGAAAATAATGATATAACCTATAGAGATGTACCAATTGAATTGTACGCATCATCAAGCCCATTGGTTCCAACTATTACTGAACTAAAACAACACACATTCCGAAACAAAAGGAATTAGACAAATTGATGGACGTTATCCGTAGAAAAATAATCAGAGGTTATAATTTGCCAGTTGATGTTAAACAATTACAAATTGAACAGGAAACATCACCATTCTTTAAACCTGTCTACGATTATTTACCTCATGATATTCTGCCAGCCGATAAGAAGGCAGCAAGAGCGATTCAAACAAAATCAGAACAGTACATACTTTGTAACGGTTTATTATTTCGTTTTTTCCTACAAAACAAAGGTGATGATTTCATACTACAATTAGCAATACCAGAAACACTTGCCGAAACTATTATATCTCAATTCCATGATAATTTGTTAAGTAACCACCAAGGTACAATGCGAACATACTTAACAATCCGTCGACTTTTCTATATGCCTCATATGTTTGAACGTATTAGTAATTATGTTAATGCTTGCCTTAGATGTCAGCAATTTAAACCAAAAACTGACAAACTTCGACCACTACATGACAGAGTACCTGATGCCTATCGACCATTCGATAGTCTCAGTCTAGATTTTAAGAGTATGCCAACTTCATCATCGGGATTCAAACACATTATGGTAGTATGTGATGAAATTACACAATTTTTAATCTGTGTACCTTTAAAATCACTTGATGCAGAGACAATTTGTGAAGCATTAGTACAGAAAGTTATTACCATATTTGGACCCCCATCTCGTCTTACAAAATTATTGAATTCATTGACGAATGCGATAATAAACTTCCCATGCTTGATTCAAAGACATTTATTTACACCACTAAAAGTGGAACCAATAGACTTTACAAAATACATTGAATGTTTAGAAAACAATATGGGATTAGCCGTATCATACCCATTGAAGGAGGAGCAAATTAAACGATTATCAAATATAATTACGGGAGCTCCAGTGGATACGACTATGACTTTAAGACGTGCCCGATTTAAAGTAGGTCATTTACTTTGGCACGACGTCATCACAAAAGTTTGGGTGCTCGACATTTTTCATTTCTTCTGGGATCGAGGACATGCGACACGCCAAAAATAGCCTAGGATGAAGCACTGAAAAAGGATAACCGATTTTTTTGCTTCAAGGCCAGCAACGAAGAAAATTCACCCTTGTCTTCACCACATGCTCATACTGCCTGGCGGCAGGACCGGTGTACTTTTTCGGCTAGGCCTAGCTAGCGTTGCTAGGTAGGGTAGGATCGTAGCCTATTATTTGCGAACGATTTTATTATTTATTTTGTAATCGAGCTAGCATAGGACAGGGCCTATGCAAATATTTATTATTAATTCATCATGGCAGATCGCCCACCGCCTTCTTCCATTTTGAGGTTTTTCCAACCTAGGCCTAGTTCAGCAGCCAAGCGTGCAAAACAAGGTACATTATCATTTATTTTCTTTTTTTTTTAATGTTTCGTAGCCCTAGCCTTCACTTTCCCAGACAATTTTTTTATTTCTTAGAAAACTCGAAATTAACTGAGATTAGACCTAGGCTAGGGCCTTGTCTAGGCGCCCTAGAGTTGGGATTCGTAGGCCTGTCCATTATTAACGACAAAACAAAGGCTAGAAATTTTCTCCAGCTTTTAATTATATTTAGTTATTATGTTTTCAAAATTTAGATACTGAAAATGAAATTTCCAATCCCATCGTTGATGAAGTTGATGAATCAGACACGGAGGTGCCTGAAACCGATGCCAATGCACAGAGTTCAAGTTCATGTGAAGAAGAAAATGAAGACGCGAGTACAAACAAGGTTTAATTAACATAAAAAGCAAAGCAGAAAAAAAAAGCAATCACCAAAAATTTATCTATGAAAAATAAGTAAAAATATCAATTTTTTTTTAAACAGCTAGTTGATTCTGAAAACTGTTTTTAAAAAAATGAGGTAAAGAAATGCCATAAAATGGGGTTAAAAAAACCCTGCAGCGCAAGGGGACTTCGCCCACTTGACCCCCCCCCAGGGCTCTGCCCCTGGACCTCATTGGGGGCCCCTATACCCCTGCCCTATTTGGATTTACTCTCCTGTTACTTTCAAATTTCTCCTGCTACTCAAATTCATAAATAAACCCCTGTATACCTAATTTTGGTTCTAGTTGCGCACAGTGATAAATAATAGGATACAATTGAAATCAGTGATGTGCAGTTTATCACTGTGCGCTACTATACCCATTTTAGTTCTAATTGCGCACAGTGATAATGTATAGGATACAATGAAAGTCAGTGACGGGCAGTTTATCACTGTGCGCTACAATACCCATTTTGGTTCTAGTTGCGCACAGTGATAATGAATAGGATAAAAT